ACATCAAAGAAACATCTTAAATGAGAAGAGTAATTAGCATTACTAATTACTCTTGCTAAGAGTAATTAGCATTAAAATTGTTTGTTCCCCTGTTGTTCCCCTCTAAAAGTATCTAGAAGGTTTTTTCAATCTTTTATCTTCTGGGTAGTATGTATTATATGTTTCCCTGTTCCAACACATGATTAAAATAAAATTATCTAATGGTTCAAACTCCATTTCTGATGCTTATCATTCAAATTTGAGTGAATATGTTGAAGCAGGGAAAGAGTTAAAACCTGTAGGGCTGGGTGAGCCGAGAGCTGCCATCATAAATATGACAGCATCAGACAGATGTATTATTCTTGTGATGAAGTTATGCTTTCAATATTGATAAAGATGTGCCTTGTTTTTGCAAAATATATAAAATGGGTCACCTTCTTTTTCCAACACTGGTGTATTTTTTTTGTAACAAGCAGTGGTTAGAAAATGCATGTACAAAAGGTGCAACTTCCAAATGAAAAATGATAATCCCAGAATAATGTCCTATGGAAGACAGCTGGACTTAAACAAGCAGTCTGACATTCAGCCCTTAACAGGTAACCTATTGAATGTTTGAATTGCCTCAGAACACCAGATCTTGGTTAAATAATGTGAATATATTCTAAAGTTGTTTAGTATTAGGAAAGATTAAAATAGCAAAATTACTGCTGAATGCTGCAAAAAGGAAAAAACCGCATGTTTTTTTTCACTCCTTTGTTTTTAATCAACTCATCCCCATGGCCTCTGTAGTACAAACATTACATAATTACATTATTTTTGCTCAATTCTACATTTTTTTCCCATGAATTATTTATTGGTTATTCAACTACAATTTCAATGCAACTGCGTCTACGGTCCTGAAATATAACATAAAAAAACTTCATGTTTATAGCAGTAAATATGGTTGTTACACATATCATTATATACATTTAATTTCTCAGGTTAATGTGAGTCGTTGTATTTTATACTGTCCAAATTTTTGTTCATAACCTTCATGTTAAAGAAGCCAACAACTGCATCTAAATAGTACATATAAATTATGGTGTTAGTCAGTAAAAACAATCTGATCAAGGCATGCATGAGCAAGAAAGTTTGGGTTTACACCATTGTCATGTCAGCAATAACACAGCTTAAGATATAGATCAGTCGTGACATCAAGGGCAGTGGAATCTATTCTATTCTATTCTATTGGAGTCATCTGTTTTCCTATCAAAAATAAAGTCCTCCATAATATTCCACGTAAGCGGTTTTGGCGATTATACTTTTAAGTACAGGTCAATATATTGATGAAAACTTTGACACCAATACATTTGCATGATACATACCATTGGATGTAAGAGTGAACCCTCTCCAGCTTTTTGTAGTCATTTTTCCAATCCTTAAGAAATGACTCAATATAAACATCTTTAAAGATAAACAAATAAAAACACAATTAGAACAGAACATAAACACTACATTAACCAATATTTTAAAAAAGAGACGTGTTACCATCAGGAGCAGAAGGAAACTTATTCAGATAGAATTGGAGGTTGTTCATTTTGTCCTCTGAGCAATCATCATCTGTTAGATTCTGGAAACAATGATATTTTATTCATTTGTTCTATAACTGAGATGGTTGTCTTTTATTTCATACGTATTACTTACAGGATATCCTCTTCTGTAGTTCTGCATGTCTTTTGCTGCCCTCATATTTCTTGGGGTGGGCTGCCACTGTATTAAAAAAAAGAAAACCAGTCTGCATCTAGTTATTGCTAATTTCTATATCATCAATACCTGTACGTAAAAAACTAAAACATTCTCTAAAACTTAAAATAGCAGAGTAATATATATATATTTTAAATCTAAAACGGAAGTTGAGATAATAAAACCTACGCCTAATATTTAGAAAGGACGATACAATGGTTAGCTAAGCTAGTTAGCGAGGTTGCAGCAGTCGAGACAAAGCTAACAGTAGCTTTCCCACCAGCAGCGGGGTTCTACACCGAAATGAAAGATACCAAATAGCGATTTAGTGAGTTAAGGTCGAGTTTTTTGGTAATGAAACCACCTACTATAGCCCAGGATGACTTGTTTTTGTCTTGAGTAGACCGTCGGCTCTGGCTCTCTCCGGCTGGGTCGTCTCCATCACTCTCTGTGTCCCATGTAGAGTCGTACTCACACACATAGTCGTCCTCCATTGTTGTTTTTGGGAATCTTCAAGAGTAACAACAGATAAATAAAAACGTCGCCTGGCTCGGTTCTATAACCGGTGCTGAATCAGTTCCACTTTCATGTTGGGGTTAGAGGCGGGGGGCGGCCCTGACCATCCTTCTCTCCAGCCTACCATCGTATAACGGCTGCAGTGATGACGCTGCCTTCACTTACTTCCGCTAAAGTAGGAAATGTCACGGGGAAATAATATTTCACAAACGAAATCGAGTAGGACAAAATCGGGTACTTTTTATTGTATTGGCGCAAATAGTAACTGTTTTTAAAATACTTAAATGCGGCTCCATTTGGCACAATAATTTATTTTTCCCACTGCTATGAAAAAGGTACAATTTCCTATTCTGGTGTGGGGAAATGTACAATTCTATTTGAAGGCAACACGAATGCTATAAGAGTTAAACTGCAAACCAGCTGAGTCAGACAGGTTATTTTAAGTACAGAAGAAAATGACCTTTTTCATATGAAACTTGTGCAATAGCACAACAAATATATACAGGTCAGGTGAATAATAACTATAAAAAACATGCAAAAGTTAAACAGAACAATCAGGTGTTAACGAAACAAGATAGATAGATAGATAGATAGATAGATAGATAGACAGACAGACAGACAGACAGACAGACAGACAGACAGACAGACAGACAGACAGACAGACAGACAGACAGACAGACAGACATGCAGAGAGACAGACAGGCGTTTGTTTTCATCAATCCTACCACGTGTTCCTTGTATACAGAACCATCTATGACAGAGATTCATGAAAAACACTATTCACTTATCAGTTTGTAAACTTTGCAAACCATATACAGAAACCAAACATTTTGGACTGGTCTTGTCAAAACCCAGACACACAGGTAGATATAAAACTATATTAATATTGTAAAAAAGTTTAAATATTATCTAATTTCAGAAAATCAAACTCATATTGTATACACAGTAGATTCATTACATATAGAGTGATTTTTTTCATGCCTTTCTTGTAATCCTGAAGATTTATCCTTATAGATGTTAAAATCCAAAAGATATAAGTTAGAAATATCAGGCTCCTGAAAAGTATGTTAAACGCCATAAAAGGCTTACAATGCTGGAGGACATAGGGATCACTTTACATCATTTTGCTTTATTCAATATTCTCTCATCCTGCTGTATTTTCTTTAGCTTAATCTTTAATGCTATGCTTTCTCTGCTTTTTCTCACAGGAGCTTCATCTGGTCTGTTCCTGTTTGGCTGTGACGCCGTCCTGTAGAGAACTATTAGCTGTACTGCTGCCATCAACATCTTTGTTTGTGGATGTTGGAGCTTGGCCTGTTTTTCAGTGTAGTCCTGTTTCTCTGATGGTACTAACTTCTCGGGATGGGTCCATCTGTGGAATTTGTTGACAGCTGCTTTTTATATATCTGCTTCTTTCTCTATGTCTGCTTCTGTCTCCTTGAACTCCAGTCGGCCTCGGCAGATGGCCGCTCACACCGACCCTGATTCTGCTGGAGGCTTCTTCCTGTTAAAAGTGAGTTTTTCCTCTCCACTGTCGCTATAAGCATGCTTTGGGTGAGGGCAGGCTCGAACTGGGAATTTTCGGCTTTGGCATTTTTCCATCTACAACGGCCCACTGTTGGTGGCATGTGGGCAATGAAATGGAATAATGTGAACAGATGCAAAACCCCGTCATACACCGCAACATATTTTTGCAAAATATTTGAGCATAAATTCGCCAAATATAAGAGGAACATCGTAGTTTGGTTTAATGAAAGCATTTCAGTGTCATTATAATTTAGTTTGTTGCAAGGATTTTACAGTTTGAAAAATTGTAAATTACACCATATGCCAACCATCACACTGATGTGCATCACAAAGAAGGGCTATATAAACTGCATGCATCACTTAGATATTCAACATTGTATTCCGTCTTGAGCTACTTGACTTATTTACTGTCACAGGCAGGTAGGTGCTTCGGCCAGAGAGTAAGTGTTGTTGCAGGTATGATTTTAGGAGGGCCGGCCCTCACACGCTGATATTAGGAGTGGCCCACAGATTACCAGTCCGAGCCTGGGTGAGGGATTGCTGTCGAGTCAAAGAGTCGATACAATCAACTGGTTTTCCTTAGACAGAAAACTTTGAACCACTCTGACTGTATGATCTGGTTGAATTGTAATGTGCCTTAGATCACATGTGTTGTTAATTGCCACTATATAAATAAACTGAATTGAATCCAAAGCTTTGGGATGTCATATTTAAAATTTTCTGAGTGTTAGGTGGTGGATGTGTAGTCTGAAGTAGAATTAATCTGTCAATTGCAAAAGCTCATGAAGGCGTGGTGCACTGCTTCAACAAGGATTGGTGACCTGTTCAGAGTCTACCTCATCTTTCACTCAAATAGCTTGAAATAAGTCCTAGCCCCCCATGACCCTGATGGATAAATGGCAGAAGATAAATGGATAAACACCATTTTTATTTGACGATAATATTTATTCATTGTTAGATATTTGCTTTAAGTTTCACTCATCTTGATTTATTTAATTTTCTGCTCACATTAGTTTTCTTATTTTAATCTCATTTTACCGCTGTGTGTATCTCCTATCTGATTTCTGGGGATTGCCAAATCCTTTTGGAAAAATATAAATGTGCAAAATAATTGAGCTTCTGACCAGGCATGGTTGGTCTCAAAAAGGCATTTTATTACTGAAAACAGCACAGAATCTGTTTACTAAGGTCACAGGATTTAAGAGAAAGCTGACGCGGTGGGCTATGTGAGTTGATGGGGGAAGTGTTGAAATGCTCCCAGAGCTGAAAGACTTTATGTAGAATTACAACATAACAATTCAAACTATGAAATGAATTATTGACTTTCACCTTAGGAGCCTGCTTTCAGAGCGTATGCAACACTGTCAAAAGCTGCAACTGATGTATTGTTTCTGTTTCCATCTGTATATCTGTGCAAAAAGACTTTTTCTGCACTGAAATACATGAAAAACTAATTCAGATCAAGACTCCTCAGAGTTGACAGTGATATCTGCCTCACCGTTTCTAACATAAAGCCAAGAAAGTTCAAACCAGCAGGCTCAGCCGTCAAATTAAATAGCTGCAGAAAAATATCTCTGCTTTTGACCAGGAAGATATTTTTCATATTTAACCTCCCAAACATAGGCGTTTACAATTAAACATGAGCTTTTTTCTAGTGTTTTTTTCAGTAAAGTTTAGCACACATTATAGAATAAAATAGAATAGAAGTTTATTGATCTCACAATGGAGAAATTCACCTGTGATATCGGCTTAAGTCACCTTAAAGAGATTTAAGGTGACTTATATATACAGTATCTTATATACAATAAAGTGATGGTAAAGTGCGGTTTCTGGGTTGTTAAATAGTATAAGTATATATATATATATATATATATATATATATATATATATATATATATATATATATATATATATATATATATATATATATATATATAATTGCAGTGTTATTACACCAACTTATAGTGCAGCGTCATTGTAAAGTCTGATGGCAGCAGGAATGAAAGGTCTGCGCTAGCGCTCCTTCTTAACACAGGGTGTATAAGTCTGTTAGTAAGTCTTATATTTTTATTTTTGTTAAAAAGAAAATAAAATTGCATTATTTCTTTACATTTTAACTACAAAATGATGAGATGGATGGATTTAAAGGCTCTTTGAAGTTTTTGTTTGACCATCTCTTGGAGTTGGAATAATCTGTATTTGTCAACCACTTCTGGAACTGAAAACACTCTGCATTAACATAGCGTCTGACTAAATAAGCATTCTCCTCTCTTCTCTTCTCTCCTTCAGCCACATCCTTTGATTTAAATGGTGTACTTTTTCAAGTTTGAATTATGATAAACTCCTATTTACTTTAATAGAACTAAGTGTCCGATCACCCGTGTCATATTTGAAAGTGCTTGTCAATCCCTAAAACTCATGCAGTCTGATGGCTGCTAGAGTAATTGGTTTATTAGTCTTCTTGGTTTTTGTTTTCTACAGAAGTGAAAGCAATTATGAAATATGGAAATAAATAGGCCTTACCATGGATTTTTGCTGAATTCTGAAAATCTCTGTGTGCATGTGGGAACTTTGAGTAACGGTAATTTTTCAAAGAATATGTAAAAGAAAATATGACCTATTTTTTGTGTTAAAATGTCAGCACTGTAAAACCTGAAAGTGTCCGTACCTTCTGTGATAATTGAAACAATGATCCCCACATAAACATGATTTTCCTTTAAGTCTAAAGTCCTATCTGTTAGTATCCTTCACATAGTATTCTCCAAAAGAGACTGAGGTTTTGTTTGGTCCTCGATGAACCAGCAGCAGAAACAGGGGAATCAGAGGTGGTAACATCTTTTGACAGTAATTGGACTGATACATCTACACACAGGCTTATTTGATGATTACAGGGTATAAATAGTATCATGCGCTATCACTGGGGGATTCAGTGTTGAAAAGATGCTGGTGTGAGTTACTATTTTTGTTCATCGTTACTGTGGTAACCGCAGGGCTCTGCAGGCATCCAAATGTTTTCTGTTGTTATTTTGTGCCTCTGCTTCAGAAAAATAACAACCAGCCTTATCTGTGTGAAATCAACACGTTTGAGAAAACCTGATCAGCTAAAGTGGACATAGAGAGCATAACATGCTTGCACACACAATTATGTATATATATATATGTATATATTTCCTCTGTCTGTCTGTCTGTCTTAAGGAAAGAAAAACGTATTTTATGACTAAAACCTTCTTTTAAAAATAAAACTTTAAAAAGCACAATATTTCTGAAATAATAATAACACCCCTTCATGCACCTTCTAGTGCTGTTGCTATCCCCGTTGTACTGTGATAAGAAGGTCCTGTTTTTAACTTCTGGCCTTTGGTCTTTCTGTAAGGATTGCATGCTGTCCTCATAATTCATAGATTCCTGTCAGTTAAACCTGCTATATCCATTTGTCTAAAAATATACATGTTTGTCTCTCTAAAAATACTTTAAGTTAGTTGTTTTACCTCATGGGCCTTGGTGTTCCCCTGTGACTGACTGCCCGTGAACCCCATGAACTAGACCAGGGGTGGGCAACTCCAGACCTGGAGGGCCTGTATCCTGGAACTTTTAGATATGTCCTTGATTTAACACACCTGAATAGAGTAAATCGATAATTAAAAGGACTCTGGAGGAATTGATTGCATACTGGGGAGGTATTTCAACCATTTGATTCAGGTGTGTTGGACAAAGGATGAATGTAAATGTTGCAGGAAACTTGCCCTCAAGGACTGGAGTTGCTCACCCCTGAACTAGATAGCCACCAGCTACCCCACAGACCTGCTAGCACATGTGACCCAAGACGAGAAAGATTGGATCAATGGTGCTATCCATTCAGTCTCACAGACTTTGAGTTGTTTTGCAAAGAAGAAATGAGGGAAACACATTTTTATTTAGATGTGTCAAGCTGGTAGAGACAAAGAATAATAGAATTGATAATTGTACCTGTGTCAAAGATACTGAGTCAGGAGAGGTATATGTATTTTCAAGATTTTCATTCGTAATAACTGGAGGTTATTTACTCCCCTCCCTTTTAACATGTAATACTTTGTTTTGTTCTATTACATAAAACACCATAGAATTGATAATATCATATGTGATAAATAAAAAAATACAAAAGTTTTTCAAATTTTTGTAAGGCTATCAGTGTGCTGTAAATGTAAGCTGCAACTCTGTAAATTCCACATAACCTATTTAACTGAACAAGATAGAAATTACAAACTGAAAATGCATAGGGCAGATTTGCAGCATCTTCTCTCCCAATCACTGGTAAGCTTCCTGGCCAAATGAGTTTGTCAGTGAAACCAAATTAGATTTTGAGAAGTTTATAATGAGATTTCTGCTCCAAAAAGTCTTATCGGGTGTCCAAAATCTTCCCACTCTTTAATCAGAGGCGGCCAGAGCATCATTATCTCTCCACGGTCCTTGTGCTGAAAAAATAACCATTCACAAGTTTGTCTCTTGAGATTCTCATTGAGTTTAATGGTCTAAAGTGACAACAGTTTTGTCCATCAGGACATCCAGAGATTTACTTTGACACCACATGTAATCTATTTTTGTTTTATTATACATCTAATTTCTTTAAAATGTTTTATACACTGGATAATATCTGTCTTTTGTAAGCCAGGCAGACAGGTTTTATCTGACTCACAAATGTCTTCAGGAAAATTCATCATGTCCACTGGATGAATAATTTGCAACTTTATAGTTGTTTTTGAAAATTAGGATTTTTATAATGTTCTGCAATTCACATTAAGGTTGTTAATGTGATCTTAAATGTTAACATTATTGTAAATATTGTTTTAGCTGGAAAAATATGTAGTCAATTAACATTGGCATGGCTACACCCCCCACCCACAAACCTCAAAGACAGAAAAATAAAAACTGTGTGATAGTTTGCTTTCCTCCAATCTAAGCTTATTTGTGATCTTACTTCCATCGCTGAGAGCCAAAAGATACAATTCATGCAGGTGATCTTTGTATGTAAACTTTCATGATTCGACTGTGATTAATGTAGTGTGTGCATATGTGTGTGTGTATGCTAGTATCTTGATGCAATGTACTTTTATGAGAACAGAGATAGCAGAGCTAATTAACTGAAGCATCTATTTCTTTGAGTCAATGTAGCCTCCCTTACTTTCTCCTGTGTCTGTCTGCTGAGGAGAGGATGTGACTCAAAGCCGTCTGGATTGATTGGTGGCTTTGGGGCATCAGGTTTTTCTCTTATCAGCTGAGATATAATTGATTTATGGAGAGCTGGTTGAATCCAAACAAGAACATAAGTGTGCTGATTTAGCCACTTAAGACAAAAACAGGAGCACAGAGAGCAGGATGCTCTGCTCAGTGGGAACAAAAGAGCACGTGATTATCCACCTGCATAATTCAGATAGAGCTGCTCTTTTTCTTTCTTTCTTTCTTTCTTTCTTTCTTTCTTTCTTTCTTTCTTTCTTTCTTTCTTTCTTTCTTTCTTTCTTTCTTTCTTTCTTTCTTTCTTTCTTTCTTTCTTTCTTTCTTTCTTTCTTTCTTTCTTTCTTTCTTTCTTTCTTTCTTTCTTTCTTTCTTTCTTTCTTTCTTTCTTTCTTTCTTTCTTTCTTTCTTTCTTTCTTTCTTTCTTTCTTTCTTTCTTTCTTTCTTTCTTTCTTTCTTTCTTTCTTTCTTTCTTTCTTTCTTTCTTTCTTTCTTTCTTTCTTTCTTTCTTTCTTTCTTTCTTTCTTTCTTTCTGACAATATCATTTACCAGCCAAGAGCCATTGTCATTACGTTTCTATTAGCTCTATCCTAACTGATGGCCAAAGTCTGCTGCTCAGATGCAAGTACAGTCACCATGGTAACCAGCATCAGCTACAGTCAAGGAGCATCTAGCCAACTAGTTCTTTTTTTCAGTCACACTGTACATGTTGTGCCAGCTCAGAAAGAAATCATCCAACTGCTCTAATCCATTTTAGGAAGTTCAGAAACCTTTTAATATATATCTCATGATATTTTAATCCACATGCTTAAATTGTTATATAAAACGGTACAGTACAATGTGGGTTAGTCATTTCCTTAAAATCACTCTGAAGAAAAATGTGCAGTGTAGCCATTTGTATGGCAGTAATCATTTTATTTATCATCAGTAAAAAAAAAATACTATTCTGAAGCTTTAAAAGCATTTAAACCTGTAAAATATTTGGCTCCATAAATCTGAGTTGTCAAATTGGTTTTAAACTGGTTGTACATTTTGTTTATACATCTGCAAAGAGGTTCTCAAGTACCAGTGCGCAATAATACCGAATTACTAGTACATGTTTATTTAAGATTGACCTGAAACAAGTCCTGACAGTAAATTCATTGTCTAGACCTGCTCATGCTTGCACGGTCATGGTTATCAGGTCACTGAGCTAGGGGTGTAACCCTGAACATATTACCAGTCAGCTATACTTGCTCATACACATTCCAAAGCATGAAGTAGTAAACAATTAAACAATTAAACTTGCAGTTTTAGGACTCTAGAAGAAAGCCGGATTACCCCAATACATACATGCACAAGGAGGAGATTCAGTCATTGCAGAAAAACCCATACATTTATCAAATCAGTCAAATTCTTATGTTTTTCTAAAAATAATGTATTTAAAACTTACATAGAAATATAGATGTAGCCATTTGGTTCTATAAAGCCCTGGATGCCAATTATTAGTTTGTTTACAAAGAGCATTTTAGATTATAACATTTTATATAAGGGGTTTAAGATACAATCCTTCCAAGCTGCCATTGACTGGTTTTAAACTAGTTGTCGGGGGTCTGTTACATGAAGCAGGTGTAACACATTCAAATTCGAATCTGCAACTCTAAATTGATCTAGCCTAAAGTCGGGAGCTCTTAGTGTTCGGTTTCAAAACGGCTGCAATCAATTAGTTCAATCAATTTTAAATATGTTCACTCAGAGTTAAGCGGGTGCGCAACAAGTATGAAAAGCCATTATCAGTGGAACGCCGATTTGACAAGTCACTATGACAACAGGCAACAGGAAGTGCCTATTTCACCCCATTGGAACTAGAGATTTTAATGTAGAAATGCAAAGAAAAAAAAAATAATAAAAAAGGAGAATGTGTTTAAAAGACAGATAAACAGCACTACAGCAACAAAAATGAGGAAGATGGCAAATAATGAATCTATTTACCTGTAATCTGAAAATAATTTCAGCAGTTCTTGATGTAGTGTAAATATAAAAAAAAATACAATAAAATCTGCATATCGCTCATATTAAACAAACAAAAAACAAGCAACCTCGTGCGCTGTCAACTGAGTTGTAAAATCCTCTCCCTATAAATATTTAATTCTCTGTGAAAAAGTGCTGATCATTGCTTAATAATATGCTGGTCAAACGGACATGCAATGTTTGTTTTTAAAACCTACTGTGTCTAGCGGACCTAGTGAATGATATTGATTTTTTTTTTTTGCACAAAACTATGACAGAAATCTGACTAAATCAGGAAATAAAACAGAGTGATTGGCAGTAGAAGAGAGGAGACAGAGGATACTCTGAGTTTACTGAAGAAAACTGACCATTTGAGCTCTGTGGAGAATGGTGACTGAAACAAAGGTTGAGGATACTCTCTTTGTGAACTGGAAAAGTCATTTAACCTGTTTTAAGGTTTAGACAACTTTTTGGTAAACGTGCTTCATGAAACCGGCCCCCCTGGAGTTCAACTTAACCATATTTCCTATTTAGGTTTCTGACAGGGTTGACGCTTTTTCTGACAAGCAGTCTTAATAATGTAAGCTATAATTATAATTCTTTTTATAATCCCTGAAATCAAAAACTCAAAAATATATATATTTATCGGCTTGGAAAATGGCCCTTTGCAGCCACCCTCTGACCTCACAGTTACTACTGAGAAATAACTTATTTGAAGGTTCCTGCTGCTCAAACAAAAAAAATAAAGAGTTTATCATTGAACATTGATTCATTTGACAATGTTCTTCCTAGTCAATGTTGCTTCACCAATAAAAAAACCTTTGCATTATTAAATTTTACATTTTCTTTTCGTTTTATTTAATTTTGTTTAACTTCATTCTTGCATATATTACTCAATTAGCCACTATAGCATAACAGCTTACTGTCATTTTAAGCAGTGGCATTATTGTTAGTTTAAGTACCTATATTACATTGCCTGTTTGTTTCAATACCTTATATTCCTGTGATGACCTTGTAGCAATCAATTTAAACATAAGATACTAATCATAATAATAATAACAATTATTGTTATTATTATGATTATTATCATAATCATAATTGTTATTATTATTATCATTATTATTATTATTAAAAACAACAACGCATTGTGGTACTCCATACTTCCAAAGCATCCAGTTGCTGTCCGTGGTGCTGAACCTTGTCTTAACACACAACAACAGAACGCTGGGTGCTGATTTCTTTGCGCATGCGATGAAGTAATGCGGGACCACTTGTTTAGGCAGATGGCCACATATAAAGCAGGTAGACTACGTACGCATTTTAAATCGTTTGCTGAATGCTCTTTAAAAAACAATTTCCGGCTTAATTTTTTCACCCCCGCTGCCCTAGTTGAACGCAACAGGCTGTAGCAACAATGTGGTGTCTGACCGCTGAAAAGCCGCACCACCTGTAACTGCAGCCTCACACTTCTTTAACCTCCGTGGCAACTCGTGCTCCTCATGCCGACACCGAGGATGAAGAAGCAGAACGTGCGGACCCTCTCACTCATCCTCTGCATGTTCTCTTATCTGCTGGTCGGCGCCGCGGTGTTTGACGCACTGGAGTCCGAGACGGAAAACTCCCGCAGGCGCATCTTGGAGCAGAAGCGCAGCGAGATGAAAAGGAAGTACCGCTTCTCCGAGGATGATTACCGCGAAATCGAGAGAGTGGTGCTTCAAGCGGAGCCCCATCGTGCCGGGAGGCAGTGGAAATTTGCTGGTTCCTTTTATTTTGCAATTACGGTCATAACAACCATAGGTAGGTTCAAGTAGATCTTTCTTTTCTGTAAGAAACAATGTCTAATTTTAACATCCCATGTTTCAAACTTAATTTTGATTGAAAACAACCATTTATGTCTTTTTCCCCTACCTTGCTACAATGTGATTCAACACCTTCTTCTGCACCCCAACCTCTTTCTATTAAGGGTATGGACACGCTGCACCAGGAACAGATGCAGGAAAGGTCTTCTGCATGTTCTATGCTGTTCTTGGCATTCCTCTCACTCTCGTGATGTTTCAGAGCCTGGGAGAGAGAATGAACACCTTCGTCCGTTACCTTCTCCATAAGGTGAAGCAGTGCATGGGTTTCAGACGCACTGAGGTTTCCATGGAAAACATGGTCTTTGTGGGCTTCTTGTCCTGCATTGGAACTCTATGTGTGGGAGCTGCAGCCTTTTCCCACTTTGAGGGATGGAGCTTTTTCCATGCTTACTATTACTGCTTCATCACCCTCACCACCATTGGCTTTGGGGACTTTGTGGCCCTGCAGAAAAAGGAGGATCTCCAGGAGAAAACTCCTTATGTTGCTTTCAGCTTCATATACATTCTGGTGGGGCTGACTGTCATTGGGGCTTTTCTTAATTTGGTGGTTCTGCGTTTCCTCACCATGAACACAGAGGATGAGAGACGTGATGCTCAGGAGAGAGCTTCACTGAAGAGGGACAAGGGTCTTTTAGAAGGGCCGACCAGCCTCTGTGTTGTAGGGGAACAGAGTAGAGACAGTCGCAGGGAGAGGAACAGGAACACCTTGAAGCACAGCCGCAGCCACAGTACACTCTTCCTCCCTATGCAGGAGGGAACAAGTCGCACCAACCTTATCCCTTCTCCAGCTGAGGACACAGAGAGACAAGAAAATCCCTGTAGGCACAGGCTGCATTTTCAAATCAAGAAAGGAAGGCAAAGGGAGGAGACAAGCTTCAGCTCCCTCTGGTCCTCTTGTGTGTGTTACCAATCAGAGATTTGTGACAGCCCTATGGTGAACCGCAGCAAACACCATGGAGGCCACATTAACTCAGTTTACTACAACTCAGTGTCTTATATGATTGAAGGCTGCTCATCAAGATCCAGGGACAATTTCGGACTCTCTTCCCCTGGAAGCACATTATCGCCTGAGCACAGCTTTCCGGAGTTCTCAAGTTTAAGGCGAAATTCAGTGTAAAGGGCATAGTTAAAGAGGAAAAGTCTGCACAGACTGTAAGCCTTGTTTATTGAATTTTTTTTGCGCATGACAGAAGTCTGTTTCTTCTGTTTCTTCTTGTAGCTATCGGAAACTGATTTTATTTCTAAAGCAAGAATGTCCTTCCTCTTTGTTACAGTAAACAATATATGTTGTGAATTTTGCTACTTTCTTTGCATGTGCCAATGCATGCTAAAAAGAATGTAAAGCACTCAATGTGAATGCATGAGAGCTAAGTAAAAACTGGTTTTATTTGCTGAATCTGATACAGAGATGAACACTTTATCTGTAAATTTGGGCTTGTACATTCTCTGCAAGAATTAAGAAGTTCTTAAATTTTCTCAAGTGGTTAGAATAAGAACATGGTTGGATCTACTCAGGACATATTGGACTTCAAAGCACGCTCGATTTCGAAACCACTACTGTTAAGGGTTTCAGACTTGAGTGATAGTAGAAACTTTTCAATATTTCCTCTTTCCTTCCTTATCTACAACAGTTTCTGGCCCATCAAAAACAGTTAATGAACAAAAAATGCATAAAACGTTTATTTTCAGACCAAATGATTGGAAAATCCTATAAAACCTCAAAAACTTACAAAGGCAGAGCACATTTGATAATTTTTCAGAGTTTGTTTTGGTCCTTAGACTGGATTCACACTTAGGTAATAAAAAACACATGATGTCAGACTTGACTTATACTTTAATTCATACTCATGCTTTGATTCTCAATTCTCATTTAATCTCGAGTTAAAGTTTACCCATAACAGGAAATCATTTATTTGAATTATTAATAATTCCCCCTGAGAGTTTCAAGTTGTTCCGACAAAAAGGCGCATGCTTTCCTGTCAAGGGGTGTGTTCCATTAATTAATCAGGGATGTTAGTGGACCATGGGCTAGTAATGGCTCATAGCAATCGGTTCATGTTTTATTGTCATGTAGCATTAAAGTAATTACAACATGGATGATTCTCAATTTGACTTGTGCATTAAAATAGCTTGTTTTATTTGCAAAAATGTTCTCCTTACCTCCAACATATTTCTCAAAATGGTAGCAGCATTAAAAAGACATATCCTGTTCTTCAAAGTAAAAACATTTACTGACTGATTCGCAAATTCAACAATAAGTGGTGTTAATCTTTCTAAACTTTTTTATGCAACTTAACATCGTTAGGGGTTGCTTTAAATGTTTAATTGATCTGAAAGAAATCTTGTTAAATGTTGGTTTGTTAAATAATTATTTATACTCATAACAGAGCAGCATGCATTCAATGTTGGAATGTTAATCTGAGTCTTTAGAGATTCATAACTTGCCTTGGACTTGGACAAATGACTTGTGAAACTGATTTAAAAATAGAAATAGGTATATTGCTTCCAAAGGAATGGACTTGAAAACCCCTCAGAGGACTCTGCTCCTGCCTTAGGGAAAAACTTACAATTTTCTTGCAATGGAAAGATGATGTCATAACTCTAGATTTATATGTAAAAGCCTTAAGGAATTCTGACCAAGCACATAGGATATGTGACTATTTTACACAGTGCTTATACTATGTTTTGTTTTATTCTGTTATTGGAGTGAGGAAAAGATTAAGGTTGTACATGACAGAGTAACTAAAATGCATGTAGCACCTAACATATATGTAGCAGGTTGTTAAGGTCTGATCTAAAACTCTTAGAAAGGTTTTTATCTTCCAGAGAGGGGAGGTACTGCTGCCGTCCTAACTGATGTCTTTCTCTTCCAATATTGTTTGATTAACCAAATGGGCATATAGTTGAGTGTGTGCTTTTTTTTTTTTTTTTTTTTGACTTTTCTCTCTTATCTTCCTCTGTAAAGAGATGCATTATTCATATGATTAAAAAAAAAAATCCTGTATTTATTTGTCTTCCATTCACCATTGTGTTATATTTAGAGAATAAAAAAACCTCAAACCATTAGTTTGATTATTTGCTGAACCATTTCTTAAAATTCTTTGCTCTGGTAGATTTTGTGTTAAATCGCATTGAAGTTGACCAGAAAGGACGTTATTGACATACATCTGCACAGTAACACATGTAACAAGCTCTGACCTGGATTGCTAAAAACATATTTATCATTACGTAAAGGGAACCCAAAATAACTTGAAGAGCCTGGATAAATGGGCCGGATCTCCAAAAGGTTCCCATCTCTTAAAACACTTCCACCCAAAAATGTGTGCAGTTTGGTCATTGGAATATTATCTGCATAATTATGAGGGACTAAGCACAAAAAAACCAAACTGTTTGCACACGCTGTCTCTAAATTATTTGCGCAAATTGCTTTGCACATTCTTTGAAGATCTGCTCTGTATGTGTTTTAAAAAACAAGCAACTTTTTGAAGATTAACGTAACCAGTTGTAGTTTTTAGTTCATGTGGGTAACCTTGAGGTCCATAATGCTTCACAGTGATATTCTTATCTATTGTTTCCAAAACTGTCCCTCTGAAAATCGGAGCAAAAAGTTTTGAAAGAATATGTTAGTATTTCTAATCCTTCAAATGATATTTGTGCTACAGACACTAAACTGCTCAGTATCTGATGACATTAATATAAATAGAATTTTTTGCTGGTTAGAGTTGATTCAGAGGAAATTCTGAGGAACAGATGAGCTGATGCTAAAGAGAGGCACATAACTAGCACTATGTGAGAGTCAAATTAATCCAGCCAGTTCTGGATCAACCTGGCTAAAATATGGATATAATAATTTTAGTTTCCTTCATTTTTTTTTAGCTCACCACCAAGGTTTTAAATTCCTGCAGGTTTGTTTTGCCGTTGTGTATCTGTGGTGGTGACTAGAATCTTTTTTTTTTTTTTTTTTTTTTTTTTAGAAAATCTTTTTTAGAACTGTTTACAGTACCATTTGGCTTTGACTCCAAAGTGAGGAATCCACCCAAACATTCAGAGGCTGGTGCCATGACAGAGAACACCGGCCAGTCTAAGATTACCTTTCTGGTCAAACAATAGCTATGTGTTGAAGCTATGTCTAAATATGGTAACATCAAAAGGTGGCAGAGATTTTGAATTCAAAATGAATCAACCCATCTTTCTGGAGTTTATTCTTTCTTTTTGCTATCCAAATGATTGCAGATATTTGGAACTCCAAACTATGCTTATAAATCACATTTTACTTTTAAGTGAGCGACACTGATTGATGACTTTGATAGTTATTTCTTTCTAGCTAACAACACTCTTCCTTTTGGATTTTCCCTTTCAGCAATTAGAACTTATATTTGTCTCTAAAAGTTTTATTTTTTAAATTTTTGAAGAATTATAAGTATTTTGAGTATCAGTATTATATCTCTCTAGAATCAATATGTTCATGAGATGCAAACAGTAGAAATGTTACTAAATACTTTAGTAAAAGTACTTATACAGATATTAACTACAGTGTTTTGTGAGAAGACACGTTTGAAACTTCATTTTGACTTTTGATAACTAACTAAATATTTGTAATAACTAAATATTTCACAAATGATTATTAAATGCTTCTAATGCAACTTTCTAAACAAAATCAACATTGTAGTTTTTTTTACTTGTATATTTATTCAGATTGAGAATGTCCTAAAGCTTTAGTACCACTGTAGAAAATTATATTTCCACAAGCTAAAAGGCCAATAAAGGAACCAAAATTGCATTTTTTATATAACTCTTTTAAAGTATGACACGTGTTAACAACCAACAGGGCTTTCTTTTTTAGTCAACAAAAAATATAGCCTTCAATTAGGGATAAGGTTCTCTGAAATAAAGACTGAGGACATTATAAGCCCAGTTTAGGACTTTATCTCAACACATTTTATAACCTTAAATATAAACAGTGAATAAAGAGGTTTTAAAGAAAGATGATAGGGAATGGAACAGACATCCAGAATATGTGTCATTGAAAATCGCAGATATTGTGATATCAGCTGGATCACTCACTCTTTATCAGGTAGTACAATCTTGGTGAGGACTTTACTGTTGAAGACAAGCTTTTAGGGGCTAAAATGGATAACAAAAATAATTCCTGGATGTGCTTCAATTGTGCTGAATATCATTTATCTGCTTGTGATGGTAAACTGATTGTTTTATGATTCAATCACATACAGTCAACTTGCTCAATGATAAATAAATAGGACAAAGCCAATAATCTGGTTGCACTAAATAATATCCAATAAAAGAATTTGCCTTCATCCATACATTTTCTGTCACGCTTTATCCCTGCTGGGGTCACGAGGGGTGCTGGTGCCTATCTCAAGCTGTCTACGTGCAAAAGGCAGGGTACACCCTGGACAGGTCGCCAGTCTATCGCAGGGAAATCTGCCTCCAGAATTCCCCAAAATAATAAAAACCATAACAAGTCCCTCTACAACTTTAACCTACCAAGACAACAAAGAAGAGGATTAATCAGAGGAGCAACCAAGAAGCTAATTGTAGCTCTGGGGGAGCTGCAAGAAATCCAGAGCTCATGAGGAAGAATCTATTGACAGAACAACAGTTAGTTGTGTGCTTCAATAATCTAATTTTTGGAAAAATGGGAAAAGTAATCCTTGAAAAGAACTATATGAGATCTTGTGTGTGTGTGTTTCCACAAGTCTTTTAGAAGACACAGCAAACATGTGGAAGAAGGTGCTGCACTAAAATGTAACGTTGTCAGAAGTGTAAATCGGTCATAGAAAATAACAGTGCCCATTATTAACCTGAACATATGAACTACAAGTTTAAACATGAGAGTGACATTTCCGTGGGGACACGTTTTTCTTCAGCATGGAATAAAATCAAGGTCAGAGTTGATGGGTAGATTGAGTAGAGCTAGATGCACTGTGGAGCAACCAAGAAAGACAAGCTGTTAAAGTCTGTAAGAGAGACGAAAGTTGGAAAGCAGTTTAGATTTCTAGAGGAACTTTTCGATAAATTTGGAAACCTATTAAAAAAAACTTAGAGGTGTTAAAAGATGTATATCCAGTCATAATGGGCAAGCATGTTTTGTCTCTAGATGCAAACCATGTAAACGCATAAATCTTAATACTTCTAGCACTGAATTCTATCTTACAAAATGTTGACTTGTTTTGATTACTCTGAAAAAAAATATCCATTCCATCCTTCTCAAATGTTAATTGTTTAAAAAAAAGAAGCAGAAAATAATAAATATTTTTCTTACCACTTAAAAGTATGTTGCTCATTGACGCAAAGTCCCTGTGAAATCAAAAAAAGGAATGTGTTTGTTACATGAGACAATGTAAAAACATAGAAAATATATAAATACTTGAAAACAATTTACCAAATAAATTTTGAAATTGTGAAATTTTAGCTATTGCACATTATTTATATGTTAAAGACCTGACCTTTGATTTTGGGTGTAAAAAGTGATTAACCAGATATGGTGAGCAAAGTGATTTAATTTAATTGCATGTTTTAAAATGAGTAGAATAGAAGGCGCAAACTTTTTCAGTATGTTTAAATATGCAAAACATATGCTGAAGACCACAAAACATACTGGAGGATAATCTGAGAATGTATTTTGCTATTATCTGGAGAGCACAGTTTTGGCATAAGGGAGTTACAATGACAGCCATAAAGAGAGCTTTGGTAAGCATGTGAACATACTTGGGCTGTCAGAAATAAAAATATTTGAATATGGTTCGTTGGGAAAATGACACCTGCTCCACACAGATTGATGGATCAAGAAGCAAACAATCTATTTGCAATAAAACCAGCACAGCATTATGACTGAACTTACAGTAAAGCCTTACAGTACAGCTTTATCTTGTGCATAAGAGATAATTTTTTATTCATTGTTTATATTTATGCATTTAACAGACAGTTTTATCAAAAGTGAATTACAAATTAGACACAATCTTACAGTTATCATCAATATGAGAATAAGAATGAGTAAAATCCCTTGTCAGAATCAGTGGTGACAGCAACGAGATAGAGGGAAGTAAAGAAAGAGTAGTAGAGGGGTACAGAGCGATGGGTAAGAGTTAGGATAGAAGATGCTCTTCTTAAGTTTTACTTGCAGGGCTCTGTGAGAAGCACATTTATGTTGTATTAAATCATAACTATCCAACCTTCTTTTGTAATATTTTTGATAACGTGAGTGTTGGGGAAGTTGGTGGAGGTTAAGTTAACTGTTAAACACTTAACTCCCCTTTAAATCTGACAGTGGCTGATTCAAGCACTGATGGGGGCGACAGTGGCGTTGGATGTAGGAGTTTGCCCTGAAATTTAAGGATTGACGGTTCAAGCCCTGACTTTCATTGTCGTTGTGTCCTTGGGCAAGACACTTCACCTGCATTGTCTACTGATGGTGGTCAGAGGGCCCAGTGGCGCCAGTGTACGGCAGCCCCGCTTCTGTCAGTGAGCCCCAGTGCAGCTGTGGCTACAATGTAGCTTGCCACAGTGAGTGTGTGGGTGAATGAATGTAGTGTAAAGCTCTTTGATCAAGTCTCCTGACTTGAAAAAAGGCGCTATATAAGTACTTACCATTTAATGTCAGACAGTGGCTGCCTGAGAAATCCAGCTCTTCTAAATCTTTGAACTTCCATTTTTATCGATTTTATCTTTGTGAATTTTTGTACGGGTCTTTCTATCACTTTTGGATATTTATGTAATGTCTATTATTAACAAAATCTAATATCATCATTATTGTTTTCCTAATTGTTTTATATTACTATTGTCATCATCAAAATCGTCATTTAAATAGAAAGGTCAATATCTATTTAGCAGCTGTTGTCTTCTGCACAAGCAAACTTTATCGCCACCAGCATGCCCACTTATAGCAAATGCAATTCTTTTTTTGAAC